GCCGGATCGAACACGAACAACGCACGAGCCTTAAAAAAAGCTTCAGGAGTGCAGCGATAGACAACATCACTTTCTTACACCGAGAAGTCCTTGGAATCTGACAACACGTCCATAATTTTGCTCCAACTTTTCCTGGAAATCCCAGCCGTCGGCATCATGATATTCAGTGAGATTGCCTGGCGAAGGGGGTGTGAATACGATATGATATACATGCAAAACAAAAAAAAACAGGTCTCGCACCGGTAATAAAGGATTTTGATGGGGGGCCAGGTATGTTGTCCAAGGTAGAGCATGAGCGACGTCGGAGGATACGTATCACATAGAAGATCGCGAGCAGAGCAATAACAGTAATGATGGGAGTCATTGGGAGGCGACGACGGCCTGGCGGATTGTAGAACATTTTATCTACATTGATTAGTGTTGGGATATGAGCACTCGGGCACATGACCGAGCCTCGGGGATGCCTCGGGCATGAACAGACTCATTGTGAATCATACAGAGTCAATCACTGCGTTGAGGCCCACCGTAGTCAGAGGGTGTGACTACAGAGGTAGTCGCATGGGCATTGGCCTACATGCGACTACGTTGGCCTACCTGCGACTACGTCTGACTACCTGTGACTCCGTCCATAGTCACAGGTTGGCTTCGACTAATTGGTGTTATTGTTCTTAAATTTTATGCAAATAATAATTGTTGAGTTATCGCAAGTCGCTAATAATGTTTGGGTCGGTGGGACTTGGCATCAGAGCAACAGTCCGCATCAAGATGTCATTCATCTAAATTAAGTAGGAACCAGGGTCGTGGACAAGGACTGCAGATGGCAAAGAGGTTTGAGCAGTGAATTAACGAAGAAATGGCAGAAAAGGGGCCAGGAAAGGTCGGACGAGCTGTGCCTACACGGGGTAGTCTCTCGTAGATAGACACTACAACAATATTAGTGCTCGTGCCTCGCATGTTGTATACGCGGGGTAAGAGGTAGGACAATGTAGCCAAACGTAGGCACAGCCTGACTACATGCCGTAGGTCAAGCTCCGTGAACGTAGTCAAACCCTTTGACTACGAGATCTGACTACAGTCTAAGCCGTAGTCTCAGTCGCCTGTAGTCCGAGCTCGGTGAACGTAGTCAGACTCTGACTATGGAGGGTCTCAACGCAGTGAATAGGAAGACTCGGGAATATTATGGAACATTTTACTTATGACTCAAACAGACTCACAGAGTAGTATAAATACAGTAGCTACAGAGGGAGAATCCTCACGAGCTTGTACCACCCCGGCTTCACGCCATCATGTAAATCTTATATTGATTGAACTGAATATTGCGTGAACTTACTAGTAAGGATCGAACTCCTTCAAGCCGAAACTCCAACAGTTAGTAAAGTTTCCCGCATCCTTGGGCAATGACTCGCAGCGTCTTGATATGCGTGCGAGATTCAATTGATTTTTGTAGCATTATCATATTTGTCAAGACTCAAGTGATTTCAACATCAACGCATGGAGCCACCGCATTCAATTTTGCAGCGATATTCGGGGCCGCTGTCATTATTAGCGACCACTAAAGGCACGACAAAGTCAATTTACCATTAGTGCACCGGTACACATTTCAAAAGAACTGAGTCTCACGAAAAGTCGTGGTGCCATGTTCTTTTCGTGTTCTCCGCTGTTCCGGTGCAACTGCGTCATACAGTATTTCGTCGCGGGTCCGATTTAGTCAAAGCGGAGATGAAATCGGCCGCCGTCGTTTCTAACCGCGTCTAGGGAAAGAGCGTCGAGTTTACCACCGATCACCATACTCGAGTATTTGATCGGCGATCAACGATTTACCCCATGATACCTGTCAACCCCTGTTTTTGACAACACATTTTGTGCTCAGCTCTCGAAATGCTCCTTCTCCTTGAACATACCCAACTTCCTTAAACCGCGCAGAAGCAAAACCATGACCGATTCACTTTGAAATTTCATCCTCCAATCCAAGCACCCGCACAAGACAATAAATCGGACGTCGTGCAGTGACAACTTTCCCAGGTCGCCAAAAACGCTGTTTCGTGGGGGAGCCTCGGGTTCAACTCCCGGCGTCTAAATGCTTCGTCTCTGCATAGTGCACAAAACCATTTATGGCGGCCGATTGGCTGACACAGAAACTTGCTTCCTTGAAGTTCCTCCCACCACAAGGCAATCCAAAGCTCTTCCCCACCGTCCTAGGAAGCCTGTAATATCGTCTGCGCTCCAACTTTCAATGCTGGCTCAGATCACATGTCACACAAGATGGATTCTGGAATACTGGGCTAGGGTTAATGATTATGGCGCTGGAGCTGATCGGATGGTTTCTTTTCCTTGGATTGCTCATCACCATTCGTGCGTTTCTTTCATGGGTTTATCATATATGGCAGCTCATCTCATTTCACAGTCGCATATCTATTACTTATCATCTCGTTTGGGTCCACTCCAAATATTAATACCCCCGGCTTCAAGCGCGAAATCCAGCGCCCTGCTATGACATTCATGGGCACTCCGTATCGTTTGCTGGTCGATGTCATCGGTCGGACGAACGGGTACCACCAGTTGCGAGTGGTCCTTTGATTTTTTGATTTGTTTATTCCTCTTTTCCTCGTCGTTCACGTGTTTCCTGCTATACCCCAGAGTGCCGTGTACTTTATTTCTTCAATTATGATTGGACTTGTTCAATTTCAAGCGTTGACTGGCAAGAGAGATCGGGATCGAGCTTCAGGGAATTTCGGTAGAGGATAAAAGCGGCGGTAGGGGCTCTGCTGTAAGTATAATTCTAGGTGACGACGAGAAAACGCCCAATGATCACGAGAGATTGGTGTTTAGGTTTTCAAGACTCCAGCCGCATCTGAATAAGAGTTGGTCCTAGGTTGTTGAAGGACATTTTTTTCAGCATTTCAGAGCCAACCAAGTTTCAAGGAATTTCAATAATATCCCCCAGCCCCGGGCATTGTCATCCTAATTAATCGGGACTCAACCCGAAAGACAGGCTCGGAGGATGCATGCGTATTGCGCGGTTCACTGGGTGTTTATTGCCAATCGGGTCGCACCCAACGAACTCTGGTTGAAAACTTACCAACAGTACCAATCCAAATCCCAAAGCCAGTAAATAAATCGGACGTGGTGCACGATGCACGCCCCCACACACTGGTTTGGAAGATTTTGCGCCACAGTTTGCGGCGGGAGCTCTGGTTTTGACTCCCAGTGTCCGAATAACTGAGTAGTAGTGACCTTCGTCACTTCGTTACTTCGCTTAATTTTGAGAAGGTTCGTGACTTTGATGGAAAGCTATAAAAGCTCGTTACTTTGGTCAGTTTTCAGGAAAGTTCGTGAGTTGTGCAGCTCACACAAATCAAACGCATCAATCTGGCCATCACTCCTCCTCCCCGTTTTTTTCATATAGATACCTTGGCCTAACACTAACACTAACACTAACACTAACCTCTAACCCCTAACCACTAACCTGAACCAGCTAACCCAAACCGCTAACCTCTAACCTCTAACCGCCTAACCCGAACCTAACCGGCCACTCGCGGCAAGACGTTTGCCCATCACTCCGTGATGTGCCGAATAGTACCCGCTGAACAAGCTTGGGATGTGAACTCACGAACTTTCATAGAAACCTATCAAAATCACGAACTTTCGCAAATTCCCATCAAAGTTACGAGGTTTCGCGAACCTAAGCGAAGTAACGAAGTGACGAGAATGGCGCGGACTCCGAATAACTCGAGGCACTCATGATCTTTTGTTTTAGAGGGGATCATATAGTGCTAACGGCACGAAAGCGTTGTAGTAGTGGGAGGCCTGGGTTCGACTCCCAGCGTCCGAATAGTCCATGAGCCTTTCTGTTTTTTTAGGCGGGACCTGGATCTCTCTTCCGCCCGGTTGTAATTAGACGGAGTCTAAATCGAAAGCCTTGAGAAAACTCACCCACTAATCTAACCACCGAAGCCACTAAATAATCGGACGTCGTGCACGGTGCACACCCCCACAGTTTTAAACAGTACTTGTTGGTGGAAATTTGCGGCGGGAGGCCTGGGTTCGACTCCCAGCGTCCGAACCATGGCTAGATTGCTGTCCTCCTTTTTTTCCCACCTCTGCTCCAGCAGTCCAACTTACAAGACAGTGTTCAGCGCCATCGGCCTCCCAAGTAATCAAATTAGTCTTGTCCAGCGATATGTAGGTGGGCGTCGAGAATCAAGAAGATCTTTCAAGTTCATTTGGTCCTGCGCCAAATCCATGTTCATGTTGAATAATGTCCCACCACTCCAACCACCAAAACAGAGGAATCAGTCGGATGTGGTGCACGGTGCACGCCCAAACACTTGCTCCAAGAAGCAGAAAGTTTGCGGCGGGAGGACTGGGTTCGACTCCCAGCGTCCGAATGGCTTGAAGTCTTCCTCTTCGTTTTGCTTTTCTTTGCTTTTCTTCAAGTTGCAGGCCGTTTCTTCTCTTCTAAGAATATAATATATTACCCAACCCTTCTCATCCTAATTCAAGTCAAAGAATCGAGGATGATGCACACTTCACGGTTTACCGAGTGCTTAATCATCAGACTTTTGACATTTGACTTGTGAGCTTGTACAAGGCCAAACAAGGTCACAAGCCCCACTAAAACGCGGACAAGCTCACAAGGCGACAAACCTATGTCCGAATTTCACAAGCTTGAAAATCCGTCCAAATTTGGCATGTCTTTTGGGCGCTACGAGGGCTTCTGTGTACTTTCATGTGTGCCGGGGCATGCTTTATGAATTGTGGAGGTTAGTTTCTCTATTTTCAGGTCAATCCCTCCTCTCAGAGGGGGGTTAATCTTTGAGTTATGAGCTTGTTCGAGCTTGGCAACTTGTCGCTTAGCGTTGCCAAGCCCACAAGCCGTAACAAGCCGCAAGTGAAATGTCAAAAGGCTGATGATATATCAATGTCAATCGAGTCGCACAGCTAAGGAACGTTGAAAGTTAGGTACAGTACCAATCCAACTACGGTAGCCAAGAAATGACTCGGACGTGGTGCAGGGTGCACGCCCCCACACAGTGCCATGAAAGGATACTTATATAGTTTGCGGCGGGAGGACTGGGTTCGATTCCCAGCGTCCGAATGAACTTCGACTTCAGCTCTTTTTTTTTTCCTTTTCTTTTCGTGCCGGCCCTTTTTTTTCTCTTCCAAGAATTCGAATATTCCCCAACCCTTCTCATCCTAATTAAATTAATCGGAATCCAAGTCAAAAGACTGGGCTCGGAGGATACTTCACGGATCACCGACTTTATCGCTACTTAGGTCGCACACTGGGTGGAAATTTTACCTACAGTACCAATCTAACTCCCAATATTAATGGCAATAAATAAATCGGACGTGGTGTACGGTGCACGCCCCGAAAAACTGCCTAAGGCGGGAGGACTGAAATCGGACGTGGTGCACGGTGCACGCCCGCTGACGGTAGCCGGTCACAATAAATTTGAAGTGTGAGGACTGGGTTCGATTCCCAGCGTCCGAATATTTCTTTACCCTTGCCTTTTTGAAAAAAGGCGAGACCTGGATCCCTCTTTTGACGATAATAAGGTGGAATCCAAATCGAAAGCCTTTAGACAACTTGCCTACCAATCCACCTCCCAAACAAACGAATAAATCGGACGTGGTGCACGGTGCACGTCCCCACATAATATCTAGGAAGATACTAGGATTTGCGGCGGGAAGCCTGGGTTCGATTCCCAGCGTCCGAATTCGGAAGCGTGGGGATTTCTTTTGAAAAAAAAAGAAAAAGAAAAAAGCAAAAGGACGAGCCGGGATCCTTCATTCGATTCAGCATCCAATAACAAATGTAAGAAAAACGACTCGCATTACACAGTACGTACTGTAGAATACATGGCAGGTAGGTAGGTAGAATTACACGGGAATATATCATATCACACATGCAAGACGTCAAACCTGCGCAGACCGACCCCCGCCCCCGCCGACGTGCATCCGCTCTTTGAGGCGCTGTATCAGCTTTGGCTTCTTCGTCTTCTTCGTCTTGTTGTCCGTGCCCTCCCCCTCTCCCCCCGCGTTCTCTGAGTTCGAGCCTGCGTCGACGGTCTCTGAGTTCGAGCCAGTGCTGGCATCGTCGTCCGCCTCTTGCCCCTCCTCGCTCCTATTTGGCGGAATCAGCATATCGCCCGCGGGCGAAACCAGTACATAGCCCGTGGGTACGACCCTCCCCGAATTGAGCGCGGCGCTGCCCTGTTTCTGAAGGGGCGTTGTGACGTCTCCCATCGGCGCCGTGCCAGCGCTCCTTTTTGGCGGAATCAGCATATCGCCGGCGGGCGAAACCAGTACATAGCCCGTGGGTATTAGGTTATCCTCCACGCTCCCCGAATTAAGCGCGGCGCTCCCTTGCCCTTCGATGTGCGGTGTGAAGTCCCCCGTCGGCGCCGCGCCAGCGCTCCTTTTTGGCGCAACCAGTTTATCGCCCGTCGGCACGTTGTCTTGGAGACGGGAGGAATTCAAGGCAGCGGAGCCCTGTCCTTGTATACCACCACCACCACCACCACCGTGCGCGCCCACGCCCGCGAATCCCTCTCCCACTCCCTCACCCTCTCCTCCGGGGGTGGGTGTGTACGCTGGCCCAGGTGTCCGCATGCTCTCCGTCTCCTCCGACGCAGCGTACCCGCTCTCCCCGCCCCTGAACGAGGGTGGGACGAGGGAGGGCGTGCTCGCGATCGATGTCGACATCGACGAGGCGGGGACGGCGTGCGGCGTCGGGTGTACACCGTCAAATGAGGCGGTGGGGACTGCGTTCACGTTGGTAGTGGGCTCAAACGCGGCGCCGACGCCGGGGTGTGAGGGGAGGAGACCTGAGGTCGGGCGGGGGTGTTCTGGAGTCGTATGCGCACGCGCACTCGCACTCGCATCCGCACTCGCAATAGCACTAGATGGCGCGGAGCTAGACGACTCCGCCGCGAGCGCGAGGTCGGTGCTCTCCCCGGGCGCGAGCGGGACGGGGGATTGGACGAGTTGGGGGGTGTTTAGGTCCACATCTGCGTCTGCAGCGGCGTCGGAATCAAGGGTCGACACAGAAGGGGACTCGCGCGCGACGCCGGGGTGCGAGGGGAGGAGGCCCGAGGTGGCGCGGGGTCTGGCTGTTGTCGGAGAAGTGGGGGTATGGGAAGAGGAAGAGGCAAATACCAAAGGAGAGGGAGAGGGAGACAGAGGCGCGATCGCAGAGGAAGAGTGCCCCGTGTGCGCTGTGGTGCTGAAGGTGTCGCCTGCGGAGGACGTGGTGCGATACGATTCGTGTCGGACGTCGACGGGGGTGTCCTGCTGCGGGGGGCCCGAGGACAAGGACGCGGATGAGGGGGGCAGTGGGGGAAGGGAGGATTCGGATGCAGAGGGTGCTGGGGTGGAGTCCGCTGATTAAGGAAGGTGCGTGAGCATGAATCGATACAGCATAAGAGAGAGACGTACGTAGATATGCAGCGACGGCTTGCGGGAGGTACGCCTTCGCGGTGGCAAGGCTCGGTATGTACGACTGCGCGCTCGCGAGGAGGGTATCTTGCGGCGCTTGGTCTACACTGGGCTCCAAATCTGGCTCCAGATGTGCAGGAAAGCCACCCGGGACATCGGGGCCGGGGGTGCCGACGGGGGTGCGTGTGACGTGCCCACCGAGGACGTCGGTCGCGTTCTCGGCCCACTCGCTCGCTGGCGTTTGCGGGAGAGCGCCTGAGGAGATGGTAGGAACTAGGTTGGGCGGGGAGGGATGGATATCCGTCATCCTAGATTATTTCCAGTGGATACGAGGGTTTCTTTCCGTTTATTTCCAGAGGTAGAAAGCAATAGATTCAAGAGATGAGAGAAAGACAATGAAGCTTTGGATGCGTCCAAGCCTTTCGTGTAAAATTCCCGTTGGATAGCAGAGTTTTCGAGCCCTAAGCAAGAAGTAGATTCAGCCGCACGTTGACGAGTAACGCAGCCTTTTATACGCACGGCTAGACAGTGGAGTAGTGCGAGACATGACGTCGGTGGTGAGGACGCTCGGGAAGCTGCAGGTAAACAGTCGCAACTAACACCGTGATGGGATCAAACAAGCCTTTGTCCAAACCTTCACGTCCTCGAGCTCAAGCCTGGCGCAGCTTTTGTCTCTCCCTGATTTTTTCCGGAGTTCGACGCCGGAACCCCTCGTCAACAGGACCCTCGGCGCTTACCATCAAGTACTTGACTGTCGGCGGAGCAATTCTTGCATTCTTTCTTTCATCTGTGGGCTCTGAATATTGCTCGTGTATCAAGGCATCCAGCTATACAATAACTCGGATGTGGTGCACAGCGCACCCTCGCTGTTCTTGGTGTTTTAATATTCGTGTTCAATAAATGCGGGAAGCCCGGGTTCGGCTCCCGGCGTCCGAATGCCACCCACTACGTGAAGTTTTCCTTTTTAGCCGTAACACGCTGCGTATTCAGCAATGAGCGTTTACACGAATTTTTTTTCCCTCCCCACTGAAAAACACTCTCGGAACTCGGCACTGCTGTGTACTCTTTCGTGAGCATTCCTCGGCAGCATCCGAGTCTGACTCACCTGCGTAGGCTCCCGCCAAGGTTGAGGATTACCTCGGACGTGGTGCACGGCGCACCCCCGCTCTCACTTCGCGGTTGCCATTCTGAATTGAGTATGATGCGGGAGGCCCGGGTTCGACTCCCGGCGTTCGAATGGCCGAGCGACCAGTTATTTTTTGGCAGCCGTGACCGAGTGACATCTTCAACAATGAGCATTTACACACGAGTATTTTCTATCCCTCGGCCAAAAAATCACTCTCGGGACTCGGAGGCTCTCGTGAGCATCGCACGAATCATCTTCGTCTGAATCACGCCCAGACACTTACCTTCATATTCTGGAACCATTGTTCAGGAGTGCGTCGGACGTGGTGTGTGGTGCACACCTGCTCGCACTGCTTGTGATAAAGTGTCGATTGTGCGGGAGGCCCGGGTTCGACTCCCGGCGTCCGAATATACAAGGTCGCTTCGTCTTTTTTCTTTCCTCGACTCCTTTTTTTCGCTTCACACCGATCCGGGATCTCATTTAGGCTTCGTTCAAACTCATCCATGGGATGGGATTTCCTTGGTCATACGAAAGCTAATTTATCTGACACCCTCGCAACTCCTCTCTTCAAGTATTCACGCACATCATTTAATTATTTATCGCGGACTCGCGCCCAGAAACTCCTCTTCGTAGCCTGCCAAAAGTGTTCAAGAGTACCTCAGACGTGGTGTACGGTGCATACCTGCTCGCATTGATGTATTTGCTTGTCTGATTGTGCGGGAGGGCCGGGTTCGACTCCCGGCGTCCGAATAGATACGAACTATTTTTTTCTTCTTATAGATTTCTTCTTATAAATTTCTCCAATGTTGATTCGTTTACCTTCAGTCCCATTCCCACTAACAATCTTTTCTTTGCTTTTACCTCAAACACACTCCGAGTCGAGTTTCAAGTGTTATTTATCTGACTCAGGCACAGAAACTTACGTTCGTATCCTCGCACCAAAGGCTACAGAGTGCTTCGGATGTGGTGCATGGCGCGCACCCGCTCGCAGTTTCTGCATCTATGAAAAGCTTCAATGCGGGAAGCCCGGGTTCGACCTCCGGCGTCCGAATATTGTATTTTAGCAGCAACTTATTTTTCCCCCTTACAGGTCAGTGACTCATTTCCTCTCCAAGTTCACTCACATGAATCATTATTCTTTTTCCTTTTTTCTCTGCTTTTGCCTCAACAACACTCTCGTAAATTCTCTCTCGTCGAGTTTCAAGTGTTCTTTATCTGATTCAGGCCTGGAAACTCACCTTCGCAGCCTGTCGCGTAGGTCAGAGAGTACCTCGGACGTGATGCACGGCGTACCACCGCTACCTATGATCAAGAGATTGATATGAATGCGGTAGGTCGGGTTCGACTCCCGGCGTCCGAATAGGGGGGTGCTGTAGAATTTTTCTTCAGAGAGTACCTCCGACGTGGTGCACGGCGTACGACCGCTACCTATGATCGAGAGATTGATATGAACGCGGTAGGTCGGGTTCGACTCCCGGCGTCCGAATAGGGGGGTGCTCTAGAATTTTTCTTCTTCTCATAGATTTCTCTAACATTGATTCATTTCCTTCGAGGTCATTCAGATGGCTAATTTTTCTGACAGACCCCAACTGCTCTCTTCGAGTATTCATGCAGATCCTTATTTATCTGATACAGGCCCGAAAACTCGCCTGCGTAGCCCGCTACCAAAATTAGAGAGTATCTCGGATGTAGTGTAAGGCGCACACCCGCTCGCACTGCTTGATGGAAGGTGACAATTGTGCGAGAGGCCCGGGTTCGACTTCTTTTTTCTTTTTTCCTTTTGGTTGTTTCTCAGAGGTTTCTTCACCTCACTTCATTCGAGGTCATTCAGATGGACGCTAATTTACCTGACAGAGACCCGAACTACTCTCTTCGAGTATTCATGCAGATCATTGTTTATCGCTGAATCACGCCCAAAAACTCCCTTTCGCAGCCTGTCGCGTAAGTTAGAGGGTACTTCGGACGTGGTGCATGGCGCAGCCTCGTTCATATTTATCTAGGATATGGCGACTTATGCGGGGAGCCCGAGTTCGACTCCCGGCGTTCCAATGTATGATCTGCTAGAATCCTTTTTCTCTCCTTCATGCCTTCTTTTACTTCACACCAACTCATCTGTCCAACTTGCCCTGGATCTCTCTTGGTGTTTCGTTCAGGATTTCTTGATGTTTCTCTACTTCATTTCCTTCGAGTATTAATATTCATGCACTTCGCGGACTCACGGCCAGAAACTCTCCTTCCCAGTCCGGCACTCAGAATAAAATGTAACTCGGATGTGGTGGATGGCACACACCCGCTCGCACCTCTGCACGAAGCAGCTTTTTGTGATGCGGGGAGCCCGGGTTCGACTCCCGGCGTCCAAATTAACGACCTCCTCTTTTTTCCGTTTTTACTTCTGTTCTCGAGCAGTGTTTCAATGGCTAAAATCATGACACATTTCTTTGGTTCAATTGACTCTTGGGATCCAACTGAGCATTCACGAATACATGGTCACTCCACGCCTCCAGCTGGCTGACACAGAATCAGCTGCAAGGCAGCTCGGTGGCTGCGTAACCTGTCTATTTATGAATGAGACCATGGGCCGAGTGACTGCAAGACCTGCTGGTAGAACCAACACGTGTATGGTCATGTTTGGATGGAAGAGGTTCGGCTGCCTAATACGGACACCGGGCATCTCGGGCAGTTCATTTCGCTGTATGAGTTGAGTTTGACGCTGATTGGGTGACTTTCCATAAGCATAAACAATTCTATGAGCATTATTTTCAAGCTTTCCGAGACGATGCCGAGACAGCTGTCGGGACCCCATCAATCGGGGACCCAAATGCAGAAACGATTTAATGCGAATTTAATATAATCTGGCAGTGGAAGGGGGTCCTTACCGCCCCTCCAGATTATATTAAACTGAATAAATGGTTTTGGGTGACAAGGATGTGATGCTCGCCTCAAACCTGTACTTCGAGCTCTCCATTGGGGGCCAAAAAATGCACACCCGTACAGACGGCCTCCGGATCCCCTCCAGACCTTCGTTTGGGCAGCAGCGTGAGGTTGATTATTTTATTGTTTTCTTATGGGAGCTCAAGCACGAAATTCTCGACTTGAATTTCCAGCCTTTGATCCCATCACTGGCACTCCCAAACAAGCTCGAAGAATAATCTATGCTTATGGAAAGTCACCCATTAAACATGTCGATATCATATCTGATGTGAATAGATAGAATTAGCATGGAAAGAGTTTTTGGCCCAAAAAAAGTTGCGGCACTTCACCAAAAAAAGTTGCGGCAGGGCCGGTTGTGCCGCAACTATTTTGAACCTCGGCAAACTTAATTCCGTAGGTCCGAAGAATGATGTACTCTGTTGAGTAAGCGCCTCATGGAGGGTGGCTGGGAGCGGGACGAGGCAAACGACGGAGAGAATGGAAAAGGTGTGGGCCAGAGGTGCTCGCCATCGAAAGAGATACCCGATAGGACGCCATGGGCGGTGGAATGGGGCTATTTTTACGATATTTTTGTTTTTTGAAATGCTTGACGAGGTTACTCGGGGGCAAGTCCACTGCGCAACCGGCTACACTTAGGAGTGTGCAGAAGGAGGAAGCCAGCCGTAGTAAGCCTTCGCATTTCAGATAGCTATAGATAAATGCTAACGGCGGACCAACTGCCGCCACAGTCGCAGACTGCAGATAAGTATCAAACACGTTACCCAAGCTACAGAACGATCCTTCCAACACCTGTGGCGCAAAACTGACAGATGTAGATTAGCCTCTCTTGACAAACACTTTATTGTTTCAACCAATAAAGATCTAGATGCACAAGTGCCCACTTTCCACTTCCCCCGCCAAATTATCGGCGGCCAGTGGGAGAAGGAGGAGGAGGATATATTATACTGACGTGGTCCCACAATTGGAACAGTCTAGGTAGAGAGATAGCATCACACGGAACCTGTGGGACCGTCCGAGGCGCATAATGCTGTGAGATACAGTTGATATGGGCGTCAGCCCCCCAGATCTTTATCATGCCATACCTCCACATGGCCATGATCCCGGAAATGATACATTTTGAGCATATCAACGGTACCATAGCTACATCTATTGACAGCAAAATCAATGCATAACGCGGCTCGCTAGATGGAAGCAAAGGCATGGAGGCGCCTAATCTTGTTGGACTCTCAGCGTATACTGTATGATACTCCCACTCTGGCGGAATAGTGAATCTCAGAGCCTATTCAGTGCATATTGTCACTGGACATAAATGGCGGCAGTAGAGCGGAGGTTATTTCAACACGCCATGGTCAGAGACAGCGATCATACCGAAGTGTCGGTAGCTGTCTGTGCTTCTGGAAGATCAACAGTCAAATGTTCACAGCTTTATATATGGGCTGCTCTTCTATATAAGCAGTGGCCCTGGCCCCCGGTCCCTTTAGCAAAAACCGACTTGCCCTCAACAACATTCAGTATGCCTCGCATGTAAGTTTGCAATACTGCTCGTGATTGAACAATACACTAAGTACTTGACACACATAGTATCCATCTTCATGGTAATTATTTCTTCACAGTTTCTGCACCACAATTCATCCACTCCTCATCCATGTTACACAGATATTGAAGTCAAATCACTGTCTCATCCACATAGCGATCTTCCGGCAGATATGCAGATGTCTGCACAGCTCATTTTCGACAAGCATATCTTTCTACAAACTGTGGCAGTAGAAATGGAGCCATCACAGGGTTCTTGGAAACTCAAGCCTGATTGTAACATGTGCGTAAATGGTCGAGTTCACCAAATCCTGGTTAATTTCAGGTCACAGCCCAGAGTGGGCTCTTAACTTCTGGTTGGCGATCATACGTCATAGTAAAACTCGAGGCATCAGACTACTTGGGTATACTGAAGCCACACGAGATGAGGCTCTCCGTTCTGGAGAAAATAATAAAATTTGTGCGTGTCTGTGGATGTTGAAATTTGCATCATAATTAGGAATCACGATATCACAGCTTTGTGTCTCAACCTTGTGAAGGTCAACTCGGATGGTCCATTGCTCCAATTGACCATCAATGCCTCAGTCTCCAAGTTCACAGAGGCAATGCCATACAATGGTATTGATGTTCTGCGCATTCAGAGTAAGATACAATTAAATCTGCCTCAAATTTTTCTAAGACCTATCAAAGTCAACTCTGTGAACAGCCATATTCAGACAATTGAGGCCCACTTGAATCAGATGGATACTGATTCCAAAATACACATTCAGTCGGATGCTGCAGCACTTTGGGCCATGTATGAGAAGATCTTATTCCTAACTACTGCAACAAAGGTCCGGGCCAGACTTCTGAATCAACTTGGACGTATATGTTTAAAGCACTCGGAAACATCACATGTGATAGACTATCTGAACCAGTCAGTCTATGCATATGAAGATGCAGTTCGCGATGACCCTGGGAATGTAACCCACCTGCAAGACCTTGGATTTGCGCTATACTGCCGCTTTCAGCAACGTGATGGTGTTGATGACATCAACAAAGCTTTGGTGCTGCACAGGGATGCACTCAATCTCGTTACAGACAGTGACATTCACAGGTCAATTGCAACAAATCTTTCTACTTTGTTGGGGGTTCGCTTTAGGCGACTTGGTGACATCAATGACCTTAAGGAGAGCATGTCAATGCAGGAAGATGTTATTCACTTGACTCCAGATGGTCATCCAGAAAAGTCTACCATACTAAACAATCTTAGCAATTCTCTGCTACATTGTTTTGAGCAATTTGGTGACCTTAATTACCTGAAGGAGTGCATCACAAAGCAAGAAGATGCTGTTAGGTTGACTCCAGATGGTCACCCAGACATGCCTCTCATGCTCCACAACCTTGGCAATTCCTTGCTATTTCGATTTGAGCGACTTGGTGACCTCAATGACATCAATGACTGCATCTCAAAGCAGGAAGATGCTGTTCACCTGACTCCAGATGGTCATCCAGACAAGCCTTCCTGGCTCAGCAATCTTGGTTATTCCCTTCTATGTCGCTTTGAGCAACTTGGTGACCTCAGTGACATCAATGAGAGCATCTCAA